AAAATAGAGCCCATAGTGTAAAAAAAAAGGAGGACAGTCTCACTCTGAGCAGGAGAGTCAGCAAACTTTATCCCCTAAAATGAAAAAAAGCAGAGATGAGTAGGAGAGAAAATAAAACAGACGAGAGGGCCATTCCATTTCTTTAATTTATCTAAAACCACTAGGCTATATCAGAATTCAAGTGCATTTAAATTGCCTTGCTGATAAAGTTGGAGGGATGAGAGATAGGAATTGTGCCAACTAGGTGGTTTTTGGAGCTCAGTGCAGCTAATATGCCTTGGGCCTTGTGCCAACCACAGACTGCTTGAGAACGTGAAATGGAAGGCTTACTGCTAGCAATGCCAAGCCTGGAGAGGACGATCGCCTTCAGGTACTTTTTTAAGTCAAGTCTTAAGGAATGCTTAATTAGGAAATGTGAGTCATGCTATAGAAAATGCTACAGACTGTTTTTATGAGTAATCACGTTTGGTGGTGGTGGGTTTGTAGAAAGCCCCACAGGGCCATGGTCTTCCTCTGCAGGATACAGATAAGGTGGCTTTCCTTATTTCTTCTCCACATTTTATTGGCTGTCACTGTTGTATGCCCTATAGCTTCCCAGTGCAACATAAAAGCAAAACTGTATTTCCACTCGACGTTTGCATAAATTAACAGAACGCAATACCTTTTTATGTTGGCTTCTTGTAGAAGGATTACTCCTGGCTATAAATGTTCATAAGGAAGTCTACAAGTACCATTATTTCTGATAACTTGCAAGGTCAGTGACAGCAAACTGGATCAAGTTTACTGCCACCTCTGAGAGGGCAGCAGTGAGGCAAAAATCAAACTGCTTGCAAAACTAAGGTGAGCTATAACACCATCTCAAAATCAATACATCTCATAGCCGTATTTCTCTGCATCATGGCAGAACTATCTGAGAGAAAGAATTACTAAAGTAACTTTCATAACTGAGAACCTAATTCATCCGTCAGTAAATGTCATTCACTGCCTGGCCTGGCTAATGCATCTTGACCCTGCGGAGATGTTGTAAGGTATTTGGAACACTCTAAAGAAATACGCTGCTCTTTGTAAAATGAATGAAGGTGAAGCCCACATTCGACTTTCTTCTTCAATCTAATAGCATAGCTCTTTCAGAAAACAGTTTTTTGTGCTTCTACAGCGTGTTTCCTAATGGCAGTGGTTACTGTTGCAGTAAAACAGGAAGCCTCATGTTGAATTGGCAGCCTAGCATTTGACGTGATTAAAGGATCAATTCTGTTGAGCACAGTTATTTAATAAATCGGAGTCCATTTTTCATTCTATTCATTATTTAGCAGAATTGGCATGCCTCACCTTCTCTCAAACATCTCTGACATCTGAATAAGCTCAGCTCCTTGTAAGAAGCAATTTCCAGGTTTTTCTATTAAACCTTTTATGTTTTGAAATTAATTTCTGCTTTGTTCAGAAGGGTTTTCAAACTGAGCCGTAGGCTATATGTGAGGTTAATTATGTAACACTTCAATCTAGCAATGTAGATGTACAGATTTCAGTTTGTGTAATCCTTCAAATGATCCATTGTGTGTTCAGAAATTTGTATGAAAGTGATTTTATAAGACTTTGAAGTTTTGCTGATTCATCCTTAGGTAAAATTTCACCAACTGAAAGATGACACCACTGAGACTACACAGTGAAATTACATAATCTAGCAGAGACAGGGATGGAGCACATCAATCACTTCACCTGAAGAGTCTACATTGTATATACTGTCTGAAATCATAAGCCCTCTGTGGTCATGAGGAGAGAAAGAGGGACATTATCTATTTGCAACCTACCCTTTTTAAATTTGCTTCTATTTTTACATGCATCTGTTTTTTATGTAAGCAACAACTAGGTGACTAAGAGAGAGAGGAGAAGTGAATGGAAGGCAGATAAAACTGAAAGACAAGTAACAAGAGCCAAAGAGAAGAAATGTACACTAACCACGATGGGGGTGACTAAACAAACAGCAGTGTCACTAGTGGGGAAAGGCATAGAAAAAGTGAATGTTTGCATACTGCATGTTCATCTTTGTTTCTCAGATATGAGCATTAGCTGAAATGGTTGTCCTTGAACTCAGGTCTGCACCAACAGGTATCACTGGGTAACAGACCGCCTTTCCACTGGTAATTACACGAGGAGGTCTACAGGAGGTGGCACAGGACTGAGCAGAATTAACATAAATCTGCATGTGTCACTGGGCTGGGCTGTAGCCTCTGGCCCTCTCTGTGACTCATGCTCACAATCAGCAGACAATTTGTTCAAATTTAATAAAATGGATAGTGAGAAGGTAAAACAATATAAATGGTCCTTTTGAAATCCACTGAGATTCCCTTCACTTTGATTCTGAAATCACACACACACACTGCTAAACACAAAAACCCACCTGCTGTCATGTACACATGCTGTTATTTCACCTTCATCAGCTAATATACGTATATTTGCATCTAGTCAGTCCATCCAAGTATTACTGAGGGGACGCTTTTGAAGTTGAAAAACTGAAATTATGTGCCTTATTTGTTTTCTCTTTAGTTTTCTTTTGTAAGTTGTTTGTCATAATGGTCTTATTGTTTTATAGCCTGCTGCTCAGCTTTGCTACCTGCTGAGGCGTCATGTTTGTGCAAGTCCTTAAGAAAAGCTTAAAATGACCAAATCCCATATAGAGTAGAATGCTTCAGTTGTGCGGTTATATACAATAAATGCACAGATACATATTTCTGCTTGTACTGGATGTGCATATGTAAGTGTATGTGTGAGGGTGCTGGCATGCTTATGCTTCTGTCCATAACTTGTGAGCAGTGGGACCCCCCACAGTGAGAAGTGTTTCTGCTGACAGGAGCATATTCAAGGTAATGGAACCACTCTGTTGTCCCGTAGCTGAGCGCTAAGGCAGAACTGAGTTCTGTCTCCTACTACACGCACCACTAAACCTAAAGATGACAAAACGCCTCACTGGCTGACTGAATCAAACACAATACAGCTGAAAAGAAAAAGAAGAATGAAGGAGAAACTGCTCAGATTTGTCATATTTTGCTTTCTAGGTTGGAAAGTTTGTATTTTCAATTGGAAAAGCTGTCTTGTCAATAACATGCCACTTAAAAAAAAAGTGTGTGCCATGTAAGAACACCTCTACAAGCACATAAAGTTAACAATGGAGCCGTAAAAGTAAATGTGTCACTCCTGTGTATACAGATACAGGCCATTATGTGCATGTCACCAAAGCAGGTAATGATATTCTAGCAATGTAGCCTGATAATGAAGAACAACTCAGTGGGATGACAAAATAAATAAAGAAGGGGCTGAATAATGTGAGTGGAATGAAAACAGATTCCACAATAAATGACAGGCTGCATTAACAAGCTATAAATTATTTCATTTGAATTTACATATTTCCATTGCATTTCATCACACTGTACAAATGAAACAACTCAGTGCAAAAGTGGATGAATTATTAAACAAATGAATTAGTGACAACTTCTTTAGCTCTGTTATAAAACTAGCGGTAGCTGACTGCACCTTGTCAGTCTCTGTGGAGACAAGTGCCAGCAGCCATAACTCACAAACCCACAGGGGTAGACTGTTAGCCAGCAGGTGTTGCTGGTCTCTGTGGAGGTGGAGTGGAGCTGTGCAGATAGGCATTGCTGGATGGTCCCAGAGGAGCAGAAAGACCCGATAAGTTGTGGCAGCAATATGGAATTTAGATTGGATGTCTGTGCTCTGAGTCTTGCAATGCCGGATTCTGTGGGGAATCTAACTGGTCACTGCTGTGGCAAAAGGATGATGAGGCCGCCTCGTGACTGGCTCAGAGAAGAAATTGATCCTCCATGACAACCACTCCACTGCTGTGAACCCCATGACCTCAATCTTAACACCCTCTTTAACTTCTTGTTAGTGATTTCATTACAAAACCTGCTGAGATCAAACACATTTCTGCATAAGACTGTAAAAAAAAATAACTGAGGCTGTTATGTCAAGGTTATGTCGACTCAAACGTGGGAACTGGTTTACTGGAACTGAAACGCTCCAATAATATAGTTATAAGGCAAACACAAATATGAGCACAACACACTTACAGTTAAACACACGCCAAAAGCTGTCTCCAGGGGGAGAAACAAAAGAAGAAGAAGAAGAAAAAAAAAGATGATTGTAAATATCATCCAATCAAGGAGAATAATTTATTTGCAGACACAAATTATGTTGTTATTGTTATTTTTGTCATTGTGGTGCAAAGATGCAAGCAGTTTTATTTCCTGATTATAATAAGAATTCACATGAATTCTAATGAATGTGCAGAAGAAAACAGTCCATAAACACACGCACACACTCCTTGACCTGGAGGGAGCCTCTGCTCAGCTCCCCTGGATATGCTGCTGTTCAGATCCTCAGAAGCCAGACAGGTGTGTGTGTGTGTGTGTTCTTCTACTTGCTATATAGTAAGGACCAAAAAAGGTTGTTTTTTTTTGGTTTTTGTTTTTTTGCTGCAAAGTGAGGACATTTTGGCTGGTCCTCACTTTCTGAAACACCTTTTTCAGGGTTAAGACTTGGTTTAGGGGTGAGGTTAGAATTAGGTTTAGTTCTGATGGCTAAGGTCAATGTAAGGGGCTATGCGTGTCAATGAGTGTCTTCATTAAGTCAGAAGTAAAAGTATGTGTGTGTGTGTGTGTGTGTGTGTGTCTATCTGTACACCAATCCACATTTGTGTTGTGGAATGACAGAACGTAAGACAGAGCAAAGCAAAGCAGAAACAGTTAGACTCACAGCTGCTATAAGTATGTGTGTTCTGTCCATTTTTACAAACCTTGTATAAGCGGCTGGCCTTTCTGAAAAGGTCCGCTGTACACCACCCGGTAATGTTTGACCTGGAAGCCAGGTACACAGTCCTCATGGCTTCCATCCTCTTGACCACCCACACAGGCAGCCTGCAGCACAGGAAACAAAGGAGAGGTCAGGTTAATACACACAGATGAATTGTTTCTGTTCAGATATGCCTGATAGGCATAACTAAATAAAATGCTTCTCTTTGTTACAGCCCCAGTGGAGTCTACAGGGATAAGGGAAGCAACACAACATCAATGTTCTCCTAAAGTAAAGCACCTGTTATTGTGGCAGTGGGCTGACAAAGTAATGGTTTAATTCAAACAATAAAATATAAGAAAATGAGGTGAGCAAACCAATAGATGGGCAGCGGATGGTGCCCAAACCAGTAAACAATCAAAAACAAACTTTCTAACTAAACTAATGGCTACATATCTAGAGACAGAAATTAAACCACACAGCACTCAGAGAGAGCAATCCTGCGCCAAGAGGAACTCAGTTTGCCCATAATGCCATAGCAATATTCCCATAATAGTTTCATCCTCATAATATGAAAACCTACTGCTGGCATTTGTAATGATGTTGAATGTTATTCAAGAAAACTCTTAGACATGACAAATATTCACTTGTTGGTTGGTTTAGGGTTAAAACAGGATCTTCCATGAGTGGACCGTGGGCAAAGAGGTGAAGAGGTCACATTTCTGGAAGTTAGTGCTCTGCTTGTTAAACAGCTGTTTGATAAACTGCTCATGCAGTCTCTGTTACTGGCTGATTGGTGAAGTATCACTATGGAGTGATACTTCACACAGCCCCTCTCTCTAAACACAGCCCCTAAACAGATACTGACACAATGCAAAATACAGTGCAAAAGCAAAGTAGGATGGTCCACGTCAACCCGTGAGGTTATGTCGGGTGATGGTTAAGGGAAGCACGGGGTGTGCCGATTGTTAGGTTCTGAAAGTCAAAATGCAGCTATAATGTGCAGCTGGGACACCAGCAGCCCCGTTGACAGGCTGTGTTCCGAATGAGATGTAGCTGCCTGGTAATAGAGCTAGCTTCATCAGATAACAAGTACTCACATCTTCAAAGATGTCTGAACAAATTCTAAATTGGCATTACTTGGGTAGACTGACCACATATCCTCAGTTTTGATGGGTGGTTTTTCACTTAAAAAATGTGAAAGCATAATAAAATGGCATAACACCAGTCCCACAGTTGAATATGATAACAGCTTTGAGCCTGGCTCAAAATCTCTGCCATCAGACTCTTGTCCAGCTGCCGCTACATAGAGCAGAGCATTCCCCAGCTGTGTATGTGCTCAGCAGCGCAGACATGCACTTTGGCCACATGGGGGCTCACATACAGTCAACAGCAGTCACCATGGTTACTACTATTACTTTCGGCTGTTCCTGTTAGGGGTTGCCAAATGTTCGCACCGGATGCCTTTCCTGACGCAACCCAAATTGGGATATACTGTATATATGCAGTCAGCATGGTTAATAATCTTTTAAAATATTCCTGTATCCAAAATATGGATAGGCAGCAAGAGGATAGACGCAGCAGCCTGTTTTGGAGTGGCAGCAGTACTGATGACCCAATCCATGGAAGGGAACCAATTCTATACTATAAATTAATATGGTGGTAATATGTACCCTAGTGTTACTTTGCTTTGAAATAAATTCCTAGAGTACATACATACTGTACATGTAATTAAAAACAAAAAAAAAGACTTGTTTCAGTGTGTAAAGTTAAACTGACAATTAATTGGGAGTATTGTTAATTAAAATGTAATTAGCCCCATTATTCAGTTTAGTTATTTAAGAGTTACAGTGATGTTAAATAAAAGATGACTATTACTTACTTCAGGATTGAATTTAAAAAATAATGTTTTCAGTGGCTTCTTTTTGTTCTCTTAAAACTGAAGGTCAAGATATAACCTGGCTGCTATTTAGATTTTACAATTAAATAAAACAGATTACAGACACTGCAGCACTGATTTTTGGCTTTTCATTGACCAATTTTCTCTGCAAAACATATTTATGCAATTTAAAAGATTATGCAGGGGAGCATAAGCACTTTAACCCCTCTTCTGCAAAACTATCTTCATTTAGAAAAGGGCAGGCATTCCCATGGAAATGGACTGTGCCCCATTTGACGTTCAGCTAGAGACCAAGTCTGGGTAGGAACAGAGCACAGTGGAGCAAAAATAACAATTCAGGTTGTACTGTATGTAGGCGTGTGATGCATTAATTCAAAGATATGCCTCATGGTGTTTGTGTTCGACTGCACTGTGTTTTTATTTATCATTTCACATTGTGCTATTTTCAACTGTGACCCATTTACAACTGCAGCTGAGTTTGTCTTTTGTCTTTTGTCTTTTTTTGTGAATAATAATGTAATGAAGTTATCAGCATATGTGGTTTTGTTTATAAAGGGTACTTGTAGAATTCAAGAGGAACACACTGTGGAATGTAAAAATCAAAGATTTATAGCGCTTTTTCCAAATCTGAAGGTAAAGGTTGAACTGGGGAAGATGGGAAGGGTGACAACATGCACTATGCTAATGTACATGCTGTTATTTATCTGACCAAGGTAATAGTCAGGTGTCATGATTCAAAAGATGGCCTACCCCTGAATAAATACAAATGAATTAATTTATTTATATAGTTTATGGAAATCTCCTGACACTCATGGGCACTTGTGACATGTTTTCTGTGCCTCAGGCTGTGGAGCTTGCTTTCTTTTACATTAAATAAATCTTTACTGTAGACAATTCTGCCAAGCTGCAAACTCCCCCTCAAGCTGCATACATAAGTAGGCGTCCAGACCAAAGACAGCATGGTGTGAAAAATAATAATAGAAAACATTTTTAAGGGGCTGCACTGGAGGCACCAGTGAGGCAAGAAAAGAAAAAATTAAAGTGACAGATTAATATGTCTGAAGGTTTATCTGACTGCAAAATATTACACAGTGTTCGACAAAATTATGAGTAGTATAATCTAATATTATGAGCTACTGTTATACAGTAATTGTGGAACAGTATCACAGGGAGAATCATTTTGTTTTTCATTGTTACAATCATGAGGTAAACAGGAGAAAAATGTTGCTGCTATCACAGCTGTTTTGCTGGCTGACCCTGTGTTATGATGCAGTGAGCTGGGCTTCACTTTTGACATATGTTAAGTTTAACAGATTGGATGCCAGGGCACTGTCCTTGCAGCACACTCTTCTAAGGCTGATAGGCTGAAAGACCTCTGGGTTGGCAGTCAGTGCAATAGGATAATCAGTGTAATGCTACTGTATAATAATACACAGAAACAAATGAAAGGCAATTTTCAGGTCTGTATCCAGTAACTCATACATACATTAAGCAAAGAAGACATGACCTGATTGTGAATGATGACTGGCACTCAGTCAGTCCTGCTTATAGTAAATTGAGTGGCTTTGCCTTAACTGCCAGTCAAATCTTTCTGCAGTAATGATAGAGGCTTCAGAGGAAAGCGTTCTCCATAGTGAAAAGCCTCCCTCATGCTGTCAGAGGGTAAAAAAAGTGACCTCAAGCTTTTTAATGTATTGGTAATAGCATTATTATACAATACAAATAACCACTTTAAAAACAGAATTGCCTGTTTGGCAAAAATTGGCAGAGATGTTACAGAAACTAATGCGCTAAAACAGCAAACTTTATGGATTTCTGCACACCCAACACTTTCAAACGATATCCTGGAAATACCCCAGTGTCTACAGTATGTTCATTTGCTTAGCAATGTGTGCTGAGAAATGAAAAGTGGCACCAAGGGAAGAAGGTAAAGGGCAAAGGGCCCAGTTATCATTAATAGATCCAACCAGCATTGTGTAAAGGTTTTCATATGGAAAACCTGGGAAATTGGACAGTACCACTACAGACCTAGGAGAAACATGGGAGATGATAAATGGATGAATGGATTTCATGCCTCAGTAGTGGTCACATTAAAATATTTTCCTCACACCATTCCAGTTAGTGTGACTGTGTTAAATGTTATGTTGTGTGAATGTTGCTTCCTAATAAAATGACTAAAAATGATTTAACAAATAATATTACACTTTGAAAAAAAGAGACAATTTGGGAATTGCTATCCATGCACAGTAGACACTATAAACTATACTAGGACTGGACCCAGTCATTTGACTATTCGGACATTCATTTGCTCAGTAGGTAATTGGGTTTCAGTTTTACTATTTGAATATTCAAGACAGCAGTACATTTTAATGCAGTTACATCCCAGTCATCATATCTTTTTACTCCTTCTTAAATAATTCACCTGAAGATTTCAAATGCTTCAAAAAAATAGTATATATAGGGAAGCTGTCTTGCTGTCTGTCACAGAGTAATGATCCTTTATAACATTCCCCTAATTTACTGAGGAAAGTGAAGTGATACTGATACATTATTCTGTAGGAAAATTACAGTTAAATGGTACTAAGTGTCATTTCCACCCGGACAAAAGGAAATAACATTTCAAGGTGTCTTACTAAATCATTATATAGGACTCATAAATTACACACAGTGTTTCCCATTTTGGAGTACAAGGAGAGTTAAAACTCAGTCATGTCATTTACTCTAACTATGGTAGTTGTCATTATTTTAACCCTGTAAAGCCTGACACATCAAAAAATAGCCAGAACATTCCAATTTTTTGGAACTGAGATGTTTATTAAACCTTTTAACAAAATCCAAAAGAAAATTCAAGATTCAAGATTTTTATTTGCCATTTATGCATAGACAGACAGTCCAGGCATATATGAATAAATGTGCCATATTATTTTGTTTATGTATTTATTTATTTTTTGTATCACATTTGATACATGGGCCAATTTTTTTTGCTCATAAACTTGCATAGCAAATATGATACAAATAGTTTCATAGGGTTAATATCAGATTAAATAACAATGACTTAAAGCTATTTCACATTTGTTTATGGGAACTGATGAAAACTACATTTTCTAGGCTTATGGAGGGAAAAACTAAATTACAGGCAAAGTATAATATTTAATTGGGTTTGGAATGACAGTTACAGTATATGATACAGAAAGTAAGTTATCAGACTTTCACAAAGCAGCATCA